AGAGAGAGAGAGAGGAAGTGAGAAAGCAAACCACCAAGTCCGAGATTTGAACTGTGGTCGGCCATATGGGAGTCCAGCGCCTTTAACCACCATGCCACTTGCCGGCCCCTAAAATTTGATATTTTAAAGATTAAAACATACTAGGAAAAAATCACCCATGCCATAAATTGCTATACATGGGTTAAAATAAGTAATTCCACATGAATAATATAGTAAGATGCCTATGAAATAATAAGTAACAAACTTATTAATAATTAATAAGTGTACAAACTGACAATGAAAAAAATGTAGTTTGTCAAAAATATAATCTGTAGAAAAATTAGGTATAAGTAGTTGTGAAAAAAAAAGAACAGAAACTTTCTTAAAACAGGAAGAAATTACAAACTTCTGATATGCTAGAGAGAAATAAGTATTAGTGGACTTCAGATTAATGCCTAAATTTACTTTTTCATTAGAAATCAGAAAATGTGAAAGACTAAAAAAATGACAAATATGACTGCTAATTAAACTTCAAGCCTGGTAATCTCCCAAATATTTGTTATGATAAGGTAGAGTGCATAATTGCTATTTTCTAAGTGATGAGTTGAAGCTGCATTTGCAAATCCATCTGCAGTCTGAGAATATCATAACTTCATTAAAGTTTAACAAATGTAAAAACATAATCTGTTTCAAATCAAATTTCATTTAGGCATCATAAGCCTAAACCTGTAAAATTTATATTACTTTCCTATAGCACTTAATACTTTTATTATTTGGTAGAACTAGAAACAATTACTTTCAGTGGTCTAATATATATAAGATAAGTATGTAAACACAAACACAGGTATATAACTTCCAAAAATAATATAAAATGGAACATACTTCATATATTTGTCAATATCTGATTTATTTATTTTTGAAGAGAAACATTAATGAATGAATTCAAATACCTTTATACCACAAAAATTAATCCAGATACTTTTAAAAACACATATACACTCATTATATCCAGACTATATTTACAGATTACATTTTTTAAAAAATTTTCCAAATGACAAAATTTTGTTGTCTAGTTAAAAGCCACTAAGATAAAATAAAGCAATGTTAACCAAATTCTTCATACTCAAGGATCTAATACTATATTTCAAACTTCCTCAAATTCAGTAGTCTATTAATCCTATAATTATTTCACTTTTCTAAAAAATTTTTTACATTAAATTATTAAAATTTTTAAACATTTTGGTAAAAGCAAGCAAATGAAAACCTTAAGAAAAATAAGTTTAGTCCTGCTGCAGTGACACAAGCAAGAGAGCACTGCTACGCAGAGGCTAAGGCTCCACAGAAGGCCTGGTGTGAATTCCGGTCCCACTCTCTCTTAACAGGTTAGGCATGGTTACACATGAGTGCAGACCTAGCTAACTAGGAGATGGAAAACATGGCAAGCCCTGTCAAAAATACCTCTCTCTTTCTCCTTCCCTCCCATTCTTTCTCATTTAAAAAAAAAAAAAAAAGTGTGTGTGTGTGTGTGTGTGTATGTGAGTTTTCAACCTCAAAAATAAGAATTAAAGGGCCATGGGACCAGCAGTTAACATAATGGCTATCTCGCTGGACTCCCATGTAGTCGACCGCTGTTCAAGTCCCGGACCCGGCGGCTTAAACTCACACCGGGTGCACGTGCGTGCGTGTCCAAGATCCCAAGAGGAGAATGGAGGAGAAGGGATTGTGGCATGGCCATCTCCCCTAGGGGGTGATTTCTCGCTTTCTGTCTCTCTCTCTCTCTCTTTCTCGTGAGCGCATGCACCCTATAGCAAAAACCTCTCCAAAAATAAAAGAATTTAAGGGCCAGCCACAGTGGATCAGCAGTGATAGAACACTCCTTAAGGCTGTGGCCATATGTGAAAGTCTTGGGTTTGCGTCCCAAGGTCTACGTGTATATGCCAAGTATGCACTGCACGCCCATGAGCCTGGCTGACACTAGGATCTGGTATAGGGACCCTTTTGGGAGTGCTTATCTCTCTTTCTCTTTCTCTCTCTCTGTCTTCCTTTCTCATGGAAGAAATAAATGATTAGACTTAGAAAAAAAGAATTAAGAAAGTTATTAAATTAAGGTGGGTGAAGTAATTATTACCACAGGGCTTTAGAGCCATTACATTCAATGTCATGATAAATATTTAATTTTTTTCTAAAGTATCAAATTTGTTATAACATTACTACATAATTATTTTCACATTTGCATTTCTGCATAAGTACATATTTTATAGTAAACACAGCATATTCTTACCCCAGCTTTGAAAATCCCAGTGAAGTTCCAGATAAAAGTCACCTAGCTGAGAAATGAAATACGAATAATTACTAGAAGTTAGTTAACAGCTCTTATATCTGCTTAATATTTTGCTTTTTAAAATATCCAACTGGGGGACTAGCAGATGGTGTAATGGTTACATCGCTGGCCTCCACTGTAGTCAACTGCAGTCCAAGTCCCAAAACTGGCAGCTTAAAACTTTCACCAACACCATGTGCATATGTGCCCAAGATCCTCAGAGGAGGATGGAGAAGGGACTGCAACATGGCCATTCTTCCTCGGGGGGGTGAATTTTGGCTTTCTGTCTCTCTCTGTCTCTCTAGTGAGCATACTCATCCTATAGCAAAAATCTCTCTCTCACACACACACAAAAAAATCCATCTGGGCCAGCCCTGTAGTCTGGTGGATAAGAGAGCCAGATTATACATAGCCGAGGCCAACCACAGTTTGAAACCCAACCCTGATAGCTTAAAAACCACACCAGGTGCGTGCATATGCCCAAAATCTTGACAGAATGGAGAAATGGAAGAGAAAGGATTCTGTTTACATGACCACACCCCATTAGAGATGTTTCCTCCCTATCTCTCTCTTTCTGTCTCTCTGTCACTTCTCTGGGGAATGCACATACTTTTGGGAAAAAAAAAATCTGGTTAGTGCCACTAGATCTTACATGGCTGACTACATAGTTCAAGTACTGAACCCAGCAGCCTGAGAAACACTGCAGGTTCATTTATGTGTGTGCCTCAAAATCCCAAGAGAAGAATGGAGAATGGATTAAGGTATGGTCATTCCGCAACCCTGACGGGGTGCTTTCTCACTTTCCCTTTCTCTCTCTTCCTCTCTCTCACTCCAGCAAGCACATATGCCCAATGGCAACTTAAGAAAAGTAAATCATTAAAGTCTGCAAATTAAATGTTTTTTAAAAAAAGTAGACTAAAACAGACAACAATAAAAATTAATTTTAATTTTTAGCATTTGAAAAAAACCAAAAACTTAAAATATTACAATAATACACATTACCATACTTAACCACAAAGGAAGATATGTCTCACTATAGATTTTACAAAAACATTTAATCACATAGGGACATATCTTAAAATGATAGGCCTTTAAATTTATATCCATAAATATTCCATTTCTCAGCATTACTAAAATAATAATAAAAGGTATTTTTTTAAATAGTTAATGTTGGAGTGTTATTCAAAATGACTACCAAAGTGATTATTTGAATAACCTCATAATGGTCTAGTAAATAACCTAGTACGATAGAAAATTTTCTCTATGAAGTGGTGGCACAAGTTTACTAAATCTGAAATAAGCCATCAAAAGAGAGCTTTGTGGGATCAGCAGTTAGCACAGTGGCTGTGTCGCTGGACTCCCATGTGGTCGACCACGGTTCAAGTCCTGGACCCGGTGGCTTAAACTCACACCAGGTGCATGTGCGTGTGTGCCCAAGATCCCGAGAGGAGAATGGAGGAGAAGGGATTGTGGCATGGCCATCCCCCCTGGAGGGGTGATTTCTCGCTTTCTGTCTCTCTGTCTCTGTCTTTTGGGCGAGCGTGCGTTCCCTACAGCAAAAACCTCTCAAAATAAATAAATAAATAAATAAATAAATAGCTGTGTAGAAACTTTTTGATTTCAAAACTTAAAAGCTAGACAAAGAGTATAAATGTTAAAGTAACTATTACAATCAAATGTTCTCAAAATATGCATATATTCTGAATATAATTGAAGAATTACAAATATAGCAACATCAAGTCTTTACTATTTCAAACAATGAAAAATATGAATATTAATAGCAAACATTAGTTAGCAAATCATTCTCGTTCTTTGTATATGTCTTCCGATTTCAAAAAAAAAAAAAAAAGCACCCCTAACAGAATACAAGCCATTATTGAATAATGACAGTTCTATCAACATATGTCTCCCAAAGTTCTTTCAGGTATCAAAAATACAGAGGAAGAGAATAACAACAGAAAACAAACTTTTCTCCCTTCCTGTGCCAGCATACCCAGCTCTTATCAGTAAGAGGTAGAACAAAAAGATTTTTTTGTTAAATAAACTACTACTTCTGGCAGCAGTGGCTTCAGCTATTAGAGATTCTTCCAGTCCAAAAGATAAAGGACAATTATTGCCATTAATTATGTCATGTGCCCTTCTTTCTTAAAGCTCTTATCTAATTTATTGGCAGCAATAAATCTTCATCTTCCTAAGTCAAAGTAAACAATACCTCTATTAAGACTGCATTATGATCACAGCATTACTTTATTTCAATCACTACTTAATTTAACAATGAGTTAAGGGCCAGCCTGATCCATGGTGATTAAGGAGGCTTGATCCCACATGGGTATGTGGTTCCAATCCTGGACCCTGTGGCTTGAGAAATACACTGCACGGTGTGTGAAACCGCACGGTGTGTGCAAGTGCCTCAAATCTCAAAATGAGGATGACGAAGAGAAGGGATTATGGTGTGACCATCCCCGATGGCAGTGCTTTCTCTCTCTCTCTTTCTCCAGAGAATACACTCTCCCTCTGCATAAATGGGGAGGGGGGGGTTCCAATCCTGGACCCTGTGGCTTGAGAAATACACTGCACGGTGTGTGAAACCGCACGGTGTGTGCAAGTGCCTCAAATCTCAAAATGAGGATGACGAAGAGAAGGGATTATGGTGTGACCATCCCCGATGGCAGTGCTTTCTCTCTCTCTCTTTCTCCAGAGAATACACTCTCCCTCTGCATAAATGGGGAGGGGGGGAAGGCCACACTTTCTCTCTCTCTCTTTCTCCAGAGAATACATTCTCCCTCTGCATAAATGGGGGGGGAAAGGCCACAATTACAATTATTCTTTAGCTAAAAAATCAACAAAGAAGTAAGAGCCTACCTCTTTCAGGGCTTTTAATAATCGAGGTCGTTTTTCTTCAACACTTTCCCTGGATTGCTGTTTAAGCTTCCTTAAAAGAGCTGTAACTAAAATTTAAATGAAAATGTTAATTTAAAGTAATTTTCACTATATTAGGAAACACCACTGGAATATTACACATATGAACAATATATATACTAGTGTGCATACTTAGATGTGTGTGTATACCTATAACCCAAATATATTTGAAAGAGCAAAAACATCAAAGAACAATGTTTAAATTACTGAAGGTCTCTTGGAATAAAGGAGTTGAAACATACAAGGCAGGGAATATACATACATCCATATACAGAACAAGTCAGTAAAGAAATTTAGTAAAACGGGTATGATCCCAAAGGAAAAAGGAGAAGAGATATTTCATAATCAACCAGCGACATATTTGCACTTGTTTTTCCAAGTTTTTAATTGTCAGTCAGGATTTACCTGACTCTGCCAAGATCTACCAATCTCAGTCAGTCCTGTTGTAACACTGATCTTAATTAAGATCTCAAAGACAGTAGATCTCAAAATCCTACAAGACACTACTAAAAAATATAATTACCTGCCACTGTTACCAAGCACAACAATTCAGTTTTCACTGGAGGTTGTTGTACCCTCATATACCACCAACACAGTATAAAAACTACAAAAATCAACCCTATTTTATATATGAAACTAACTTCTGAATCTAAGAGAACTTGAAGCATTCCATAGTATTTTCTCTGCTGTAAAGAGAGTGAATTCAGGGAATCAGCAGTTAGCATAATGGCTATGTCGCTGGACTCCCACGTAGTTGACTGCGGGTCACGTCCAGGACCCGGTGACTTAAAACTCACGCCGGGCGCGTGTGCGTGCGTGCCCAAGATCTCGAGAGGAGAATGGAGGAGAAGGGATTGCGGCGTGACTATCTCCCCTGGGGGGTGATTTCTCACTTTCTATCTCTCTGTCTCTCTCTGTCTGTCTGGCAAGCACACGCGCCCTATAGCGAAAACCTCTCCAAAAAAAAAAAAAAGAGTGTGAATTTAGACACATTGCCCAAGTTCAAACACCAGCTTCACTACTTGTCAGTTTTGTATAAACTTGGGACAGGTTATTTAATTTCCCTAAATTTCAGTTTCTTCTTTTCATTTATCAAGTAAGAATAAACATAAAATCTACTAGAAAGGGTTGTTATAAACACTGAATATAAGTTGCTTACTGTTGCATCTTTAATTAAGTAAACAGAATTTTATCTATCAGAATGACGATCTAAGATAGGCTAGCCAAAATCATTTAGTTCCTAACAACTATCAAAATAAGGAAAAATATTAGACATGAATGAAATAAGTCTAGCAAAAAAAATTACAGCAAAAAAATGTGCACTGAGGGGAAAATGAATATACTTCAACACATGCTGATTTCCCCCAGTTTTGACATATTTCTCATACACACATTTATACAGATTTCTTCTGAGGTTTTAACTATTATTTTTTACTAATTTTCAGTAAACCACATCGAACCTCATGCAGAATATAGAAGCAGAAGGTGAATCAAAAGGAAAAAAAGAAGGTATTTTTTTGGAAAGCTTGGACTAGATCTGTTTCGTCCACACAAACTCAATTAAGAAAAAAAACAAAAACAAGGGAGACAGGATAAATAGTATGATCTATTCTTAGTTTTTAACCGCAAGTCTAAATACATCCCCAATATATTTTTAAAAGCCTAAAATCAAAGAACAATGTTTAAATTACTGAAAGTCTCTTAAATACTAAGAGCTGAAACACTGAAGTCAGGAAACACAGGACCTAGTTTCAGCTAAACCGTTAACTAGCTCTGTGACCTAGATCAGTGGTTTCCAAACACTAATCTACGTTTTGTGCCCAGTCATTGAAGTTGCCACAATAAGAAAAATTATGAACTAGAATGGGTCTGTTTCTTTACAAATTTAATGTATTTTTTCAATAGAAGATTTTTTTTTGGCTATTTTTCCTTTTAAAAAAATATTTTTTGCCATAGGGCCTGTGTGCTCACCAGAGAGAGACACAGAGACAGGGAAAGTGAGAATCACCCCCCAGGGGAATATGGTCACATTGCAATCCCTTCACCTCCATTCTTCTCTGGGACTCTAGCTGTGTATGTACATGCAGCTAGAATGAATTCCAAGCTGGTGAGTCAAGGACTCAATGTGGAGTTAGTCTCGTGAGATCCAGATCCTTAGCCACCAAACCACCTGCTGGTCCCTATCTTTCCTTTCAAATACATTTTCAAATAAACTGTCAATACAGAAGAAAGCAGTTATCTGTTTCTCAAGTTCTTATAGGTAAAAATGAAAAAGTCAGTTTCTCTACATCAATCCTTCAACAAATCTTTTTTCTAACCTATGCAATCCAAAGTTTGGGAAGTGATGACCTACATAATCTTTTTGAGATTCAAATTTATATGAATTTGACTAACTTTCATTTTTGTTATAGTTTAACTTTGCTATAAGGGCTTTTATTACCCCAAAAGTAGTACAATTTTTTATGGTAATTTTTTTTCAATATAAGTTCAAATGCCTTAAATCTTTATTCAATACACCTTACCTTCAAATTGAAATGCACCTCTGTTGAATAGAAAGAATTAAATTCTGGGACCAGGAGTTGGCTTAATGGCTATGTCGCTGGACTTCCATATTGCCAACCATGGTTTGAGTCCCGAACCAAGTGGCTTAAATTCACACTGGGCATGTGGGCGTGCTTGCCCAAGATCCAGAGAAGAGAATGGAAGAGAAGGGACTGTGTCATAGTCATCCCCCCTGGGGGGGTGATTTCTCACTTTCTGTCTCTCTATCTCTCTCTGTCTTTCTGGTGAGCACATGCATTCTATAATTAAAAAAAAAAAAACCTTCTGCAGAAAAACAAACAAAAAAAAAGAAAGAAAGAAAGAATTGAATTCCTAAGTAGAAGAGGTCCAAATAAATGCAGGAGCCATATGTTTTTCATCAACCAAATACAATTCCATCAACTAAATATAACAGACTGAAGTAATAAATAAATAACAGATTATTATATAATGACCAAACATTATTAAAAAGGTAGTGACTGGGACCAGAAGGTGACATGGTGGTTAAGGTGCTGGACACTCCCACATGCCAACGACAGTTCGAGTCCTGAACCTGGTGGCTTGCTTTCTCACTCCCCTCCTCCCCCACCTCATGTATGTGCCTTGCTCTAGTTAAATTAAATAAATAAAGAATGAATAAATAAAATTAAATAAATCTTTAAAAACAAAAGTAGTGGCAACAACTATATATAGCATAGTAATATGTGCAAAAAGAGTCCCTGTTCTGCGAGACTTCACGTCATCAATGCACAGTGATAATGCATCTCACAAGAGATGCCAGATCCCACCTAGTGACCACTGTCTGAATCCCTAATTGGTCAGCCTAAAACATGCCAGACACGTGTGAGGGTACCCAAGATCCGAGAGGCTGGAGGGCTGAATAAAGGGGATCACTGTGTAACCATTCCCTGTGGAAGGTGCTCTGCATGCATGTGTGCTCTCTCTCTCTTTCCCCCCACCACATGCACATGCATGTGCTCTATCATGAGTTAAAAAAAAATTAAAAACAGCACCAACTCAAACTTCCTTACAGAAGCACAGACAAGCATTCAGGAAGCAATTAGGTACACAAAGTCACCACTCTGCTTTTTAGGGATCAGCATTTGTAATCCTATGTTGTAAGAATTGTACTAATACTAATTAATAATGAAGATAAAATTAGCTTTAAGGATTTAGATAGTATCAAATAGTATTCACACAAAGAGTTAAATGCAGAATTGCAATAAACCACAAATAATTTACCATTCTCTTTCCTCTTTCTCCGATTTAAGTTTTCAATTTATTTGACCTATAGCTTTCAAAAGTATGACCTATTGCTCCAACTATCATTTAAATCTGTATCTTTGTTTTCCTTTTCCTTCTAAGCTCCAGTCTAGCCCAACTACTTTATTGGATGATTATACTTAGATGTACTACAAATAACCCAAACTCATCAAATCGAAAATAAATTAATTAAATCCCTTCCTCCTCTTCTTCCTATATTCTGTACATCAATTAATTAATGAATCATCATTAATCCAACAAAGAGACCTTGAAGGTACCCTAAATCTTTCTAATACTACTCATGTATCCAAAATATGATCAATTTATGTCAACTCTGGTTTGTTTTTTTAAAAAAATTATTTTATTGAACATTTATTTATTTATTTAAATTTGACCAGAGAGAGAGGAGGGGGATAATGAGAAAGCAAGCCACCAGGTCCAGGACTTGAACCATGGTTGGCCACATGGCAGTCCACCACCCCGAACCACCACACCACCTGCTGGCCCTGTCAATTCTGTTTTTCTTTCTCCATCTGTCTCTTAGAGAAGACACTCTCTTAAGTCAAGCTTAACTCATTTATTCCAGAAAGTATTTTTTGTAAAAAGCTCTTGAGTCCCTGACTCAAATAATTAAAGAGTCTTGTTTATCTAATAATGTTAATCGTGCTCTGAAGTCTTTTGAAGGTTTGCGTGACTGGAGATTGAGATTAAAACCTTGAATAGCACATAAAGCTGATTTCAGAGTGGCTCCTCTACAATTACAACTGCATCTGCCAACACTGGTCTTCACTCCTACACATAAATTTCGCATGTATCTTCACTAGGGAGCCACAAAGAAACATACACTGGTTCCCTAAAATGTGCATTGCTCTTTTTCGCATTTCCAAGCTTTAGACACATTCTACTCCCACACACTCTTATAGAACATCTGTACCCACACCTCATTCAGAACATCGCAGAATTATCATTGGTCTCTTTCCTCCAAGTAGGATTGAGTTCCTCAATATCAAAGTTAATCACATATCCCTAATATGTTTCCGATACATCTGGTAGACACTTGGAACACAAATAAGACGATCCCAGCCCTAATGAAGCTTTCTACTTAATAGAAGTGGCAGCCAAAATTCTAATATAGTTAGTATATGGGCAAACAAGGTTTCCTTGTACTTGAACTGAAATTTGAAGAATTACAAGGAGCTGGGGCAGAAAGGGAAGAACATTCAAGTATGAGAAATGTGAGAAACTGAAAAGCCAACAGAGCTAACACACAGAAAGCCAAGCAGAAAGAACAAGACAAGGATGGAGATAAAAAGGTAACACTATTGTAGTGAACATTATAAACCAAGTAAGATATTTTGGTCTTCATTCTAAAAACAAGAAGTTTTAAATAAGACAGTAGTATCAGAAAAAAAACAACTTAATTTCAATAAAACATTAACAATGGTTATCTTTGGGTAAGATCATGTTATTCTTTTTTCTCTATAATTTCCTATTGTCATTAATTTCTTAAAAGAAAAAAATAAATGTTTTGAAAACTCAAGAGAGTTATGGTTTAAAAGTCCTAATATGGTACTTTAAGGAAAATTTTTGAATCTTGGTAAGTAGTTTCAAATATTCTTTGTAGTTTTCATCCACTTATTCATTAATTCATTGAACAAATGTACTGACAATAAGGAAGTGAATAAGACAACGTATACAAAACTTGTATCATTAAGATACAGAGTAATAGGGCCAGCAGTTGGTGTGATGGCTATGTTGCTGGACTCCCATGTAGTCGACTGCAGTGTGAGTCCCGGACCCGGTGGCTTAAGCTCCTGCCGGGCACATGTGCGTACATGCACAAGATCCTGAGAGGAAAATGGAGAAGGGATTGCAGAGTGGCCATTCCCCATGGGGTGGTGATTAATTGCTTTCTGCCTCTCTATCTTTCTGGCAAGCACATATGCAATATAGCAAAAACCTCTCAAAAAAAATATATATATACACACATTGAAGAATTAACTAGAAATGTATTGAGTATGGATAGCCCCACAATCTAGTAGTTAAAGGGACCTGAATTCCACATGGAACAGCATGGTGCTAGTCTCAGCATGACCACATCCCATTGGACAGTGCTTTTTCTCTCCCTCTCTGTTTTTTTGTCTCTCTTTGGTGAGCACATGCATCCTTTCACAACTAAAAAAAGAAAAAAAAATGTACTAAACACAGCAAAGGAAAAGACTGAACCACTTTGAAAATGCTCAACAAGAAGAACTTAATCTACTCCAGGATTTGAGGGAAGGCTTCTCTTAGAAAGAAATATAAAGCTGAAACCTTAGAGAAGGCTGCCAGTAGAAGGGAAGAATGCAAACCAGCATGAACTGCTGTTCCTTTACCTCCATACTTACTCTTGATGTGCCACAAAAATAGGACAGAGGCTAATGCAATTCCCAAGCTACCAAGGACATACCATGACATAAATGTATAGAAAATTGTGCATAAGCATAAGAAACTAGAGCTCTCCAGATTAAAGGAAAGCTGGGGAGCATGAGAGAGGGATAAGTTGAGAAAAGACTTAAATTGTATTCATATCTCTTGCTAATACTGGCCTGATCACCTATTCACCCAATACCCATTGTAAGGCAGAAAAGCTACATAATTTTGAAATTCTATTAATTTTAAAGTGAAATGATTCTAGTCTCTGACAAGTTTAGCAAGTGTCTGAATGTTCTGTACCTCAGGAACATTAGCAAAAATATCAAAATCAGATGAAAAAAGTAAAATAGGTCAAAACTTTTCATGAACAGTGTGCAATAGATTATCTTTGATTTTCAAGAAATACAGAAAATTTTAATATCACACAAGCTAAGCAACTAAAAACTAACATGATAGTACTTTAAAAGATGGTAAAGTACACATGTATGTTTAACATCATTATAAATGTATCTGTATAAATATTTCTAAATATGTACTGTAAGAGTTGTTTAATTATCCCCTTAGTAGTTACACGTTTCATGTGATAGGAAGCAATAAAAATACACAAGCGCTGAGTAATTACAGATGTATAATTACATAATGATTGATGATGAAATACTACTCAGAATGGATATCTAAAATATCCCAGTATATCAGAAAAAAATGTTTACATTAAAATTCATTGCTGAACATCCCATAACTGATTTTCCATGAAAACTTTATTTCTTGACCTTCCCAAGAGATTATTAACTACTAAAAAGAGGACAACCATTCTTTATTCTCCACATTTTAATAAACAAGCATTTTATAGTAAGGACTCTGTGTATAATCTCTGATTCTGAATAAAAGAGTGTTTAAAGTCATAGAAGTCTCACAGTAAGTCAAAAACCAAGAAGTAGATCTAGTTTCCTCTCAACTTTGCTAACTAAATAGAAAAATCAGAGATAGTTTCTTCAAACCAGTATTGTAACTTTTCAGTCATTCTCAGTCTCTTCTGGATCTGCACATTTTAATCTTTTCCCTGAAATTAGTATAGAACCAGTATTGTTTCTTGCTCTCACAAAGGTTTCCTGATGTTTGTCCAGAAAGGACAGCTATCAATGTATTAAGCTGTCAGAAAAGTCCTAATATATTTTTTCTATGTTTTTCTATGCAAAATGGATCATGACTTTTCTGACAACTCATATAACAAAATACAAATACACTCATTTTGTTGTTAAAATATTATGATTTTATCTCATATTAAATCTTAGTGGGTCCAGCCTAAGTGGCACAGTCAGTAATGTATTAGGCTGCAGTATTAGAAATTACATGGTCCACCATGGGTTCAGAATCCCAGGTCAGCCTGGAAACATACTGGGAGTTTATGTGGGTACCCTAAAAAGCAGCAGGACTGGAGAGAGGGGACTGCAGCATGATGAGGGCCTATTACGGGTGCTTCTCTCCCTCTTTCTCTCTTTCTTTCTGTACCTCAGACACACGTGTATCTTCTAGCATTAAAATAATAACTTAAGCCCAAATATAACTTCCCCATTAAAGATGTCCAAACAATTCAGAAAGTACACAAAAATGTAAAATGTGGATTACATATAAAACTACACTATAAGAAAGTGCTCATAATAGCCCAAAAATTAACATTAAAATAAGACTAAATCTATGTAACATCCTAGGAGTGTTCAACATGATGTATTTGTTTAATAAAACTGTCAGATTTTTTTATTTCTCTCTATAATATTAGATTTAATGGCTCTTTTTGACCCTCAAACTGTAAAAAGATATTATCAGAAAAATAATACTCCCATTTATCCAGATTTAAATTTTGTAAATATTTCAACTATTGTGATGTACTCAAGTAAAAAATTTTTAAAAAGAATTATTTATTCATTAATTTCTTTTCATTTGACCAGAGAGAGACAAAAACAGAGAGAGAAGGAAAGTGAGAAGGCAAGCCACCAGGTCTGGGACTCAAACCGGGGTCAGCCATGTGGGAGTGTCCAGCACCTTAACCACCACACCCTCCTGGTCCCCCAACAAGTGAAATTTTAAAAAATATATACAGGTCGGAGGAAGGAGAGTGGAATAAATTAATATTCTGTATATTGTGAAAAATTAATTGACATATTTTAGAAATACTCATTTAAAGATTAAACAAAACAGAGACGGTCTTGTTCTTTGCTTCCACCAAAGCCTATACTCAGCAACTAAAGCAGATAATTACAATAACAATGGATTATTTTTAGTTCTAATTAATGATTCAATTAATTAAGCAGTGGCCAGAAAGGACAGTCACATCTCAACTCAAAAAGTCCATCATTCTGGATGAGTAAAAAAATAAAATCAAAGAATATCAGCAAGGCAGAACGCTACAAAAGGAGAATAATAATGACATTACTTTTGAATATGATTCCTCTATTTTTTCTATGTATTGCTCAGTGTTCAAGTCCCTACAATGTGAATAACTCATATATAAGTTTAAAGATAACTGCAAAGATTCACGACATGAAAAGTTACACTCAATAACAAATATTTCAAATGCATTACTTCATATTTTAGGATACAGACTGAATATCCCTTATCTAAAATGCATGGGACCAGAAGGGTTTCAGATTTTATAACATTTGCATATACATACTGAGATAACTTGGGGATAGAACCCAAGTCTAAACACAAACTTCATTTATGTTTCATACACATCTTATACACATAGCCTAAAGGTAATTTTAGCCAATACTTTTGTATTACAGCACTTTGACTAAAACCTGTATCTTGAGATCAGGCGTGAAATTTTCCACTTGTGGCATCATGTCAGCACACAAAAAGTTTTGGATTTTGGAGCATTTCAGATTTGGGATTTTCAGAGCAGGGTTGTTCAACCTGTAAATATCAACAGTAATTCAATCACTTACTCATCTGTCTATCTCCATAGCTGATGGCTTCCGCCAGAGGGCTCCATCCCTGAGCATTTTTCACCTTTACTGGAGCATTGTGAGCCAAAAGTAAATGAGCACATTCTGTAATAAAAAATAGTAATAATATCAAACATCATGCAAATTTTAGATTCTTTAAGTATAAATATTATGTAAAAGTTTTAGAAATCAAATTAATGTAGATAGATCTATGAAATAAATTCAGTAATATGAAGGGTAAATGATTTTTTTTTTTAAATGCCTATGTATCTAACCCAGATTATTTCAGATTCTTACATTCAAGAAGTATCCATTCTACTGCTTAAAAATAAATTGCATCTTTTGGCAAAGAAAGTATTATGTTTTCCTATAATCATTACCAAGAGTATTTTGAGAATGTCTCCATCTTCTAAAAGACAACCCTAGAACTTCAAGAGTAATTTATATCAAATATCTAATAAGGCCCCAAAGAGGATACGCATATCTATAATGTCAAACAGAAAGCTCATCAGTTCAGGAAAAAAAAAAAAAGTGTTCAAAATGATCAATACTATTTCTATAAGCCTTTACCTTTAAAATTTTATAATTTTGAGGCCAGCAATGGCATAGTGGTTAAGGGTGCTGGAATCCCACATGGCCAACTGAAGTTCAAGTATATAGTATATAAAAATAAACACAAGTATTATTACAGGAATGCTTATTTTAGTGTAGTTTATAGTGGCAAATCTATTGTAAATAGAGTGAATATACATCATGAGGGAGTAACAGAGATATACTGCACCTACAGTATTAGAGTAATATGTAGCCAGTTTATAAGAACAGAGTCAAATCAAAAGCACATGAGGCTGGCACATGGCCTAGTGGTTAAGGGCGCCATCTCCCACCTGGCCAACTGTAGTCTGAGTGTTGGCTCCAGTCGCTTGAAAAGTACACCAGACATATATGCATGCACATCCAAATCCTGACAAGTTGGAGAAATGGAAGAGAAGGGACTGAGGTATGGCGATGCCCCATTGAGGGGTACTTTCTATCTTTCTCTGACAAGCAAGTGCACATATCCTCAGTGAGGGGTAAAAGTATGGAGGAATGTTATTACCATGCCATTGGAAGACGTAGGTTCATAAAGAAAGAGGATGACAGAGAGCCAAATCAAAAAGAATTTTTAAAGAACAAAAATAAATGAACTCTTTCACCATCCATCCAACAAAACCCACCCTTAGGTTTTATGCAAATATGTGGATATGTGTACATATATAAATAGGTTTGGGGGTCCATCCCCTTTGCAGGGCAGTTAAGCACTGTGCAAAGGGAGCCAGATCCCACATAGCTGAATGCAGTTTAAATCCTAGCCCCTTCAAGTTAAAAAATATGCTGGGCACATGTGAGTGCCTACCCAGGATCCTGATATGACAGAGAAATAGAGAAAAATAGACTGCCACAAGACCAGGCCCTGGTGGGGTAAGAAGGAATGCTTTCTCCCTCTGCTTTCTTTCTCACTCTGGCACGCACATTCAACTTTTGGCATTAAAAAAAGAGAAAGGTGGGAACCAGCAGTTAGTGTAATGGCTATGTCGCTGGACTCCCACGTAGTAGACCGTGGTTCGCGTCCAGGACCCGGTGGCTTAAAACTCACGCCGGGCACGTGTGCGTGCGTGCCCAAGATCCCGAGAGGAGAATGGAGGAGAAGGGATTGCGGTGTGACCATCCCCCCTGGGGGGTGATTTCTCACTTTCTGTCTCTCTGTCTCTCTCTGTCTGTCTGGCGAGCGCACGCGCCCTATAGTGAAAACCTCTCAAAAAAAAAAAAAAAAAAGGAGAAAGGTTAGAGGAATATGAACATTGACGATATCTATAAAGTTCTGGAGCTATTTTATGATGGTCTTTTGAATGAAAAAAAATATATTGCAAAGCACTATGTATCATGATTCTATTTCAGTGAAAACAAACTTAGTCCCAGTGTTACAGTAAGGAATAGGTGTGGAAGGATGCTCACCAGTTTATAAATGTTAACTACTTCAAAAAACAAGTAGAAAGATGATGTTATTATACTATATACCTCTACATAGTAGTATCTTGTTTGAATAAGCATATATTAATAATCAAAAAATTAAAGAAAAATTAATTTACAAGTATTCATAAGTAGGATTACAACCATTTCTAAAGAAATATCCCAGTTCTATCAATTAAGATATAGGCCTGGGGACCAGCAGTTGGTATAATGGCTATGTTGCTGGACTCCCATATAGTTGACCATGGTTTGAATCCCAGACTCTGCAGTTTAAACCCACACTGGGTGTGTGTGCGTGTGTACCCAAGATCCTGAGAGGAGAATGGAGGAGAAGGGATTGCGGCGTGACCATCCCCCCTGGGGGGTGATTTCTCACTTTCTGTCTCTCTGTCTCTCTCTGTCTTTCTGGCGAGCGCATGTGCCCAGTAGCAAAAACCTCTCAGAAAAAAAAAAAAAGATACAGGCCTGGAATAAGATTTATATATTGAGGGGTTGGCAGGTGGTGTGGTGTTAAGAACACTGGACTCTCATATGGCCAACTGCAATTTGAGTCCCAGATCTGGGGGCTTGCTTTCTCACTTTCCCTCTCTTAGACTCTCTCTCTTGCTCTGTCAAATTAAAATAAATAAATAAATAAAGTTAAATAAAATATTTTTTTAAAAAAAGCTTTATATATTCAACTGGTCCCACAGTGCAGTGGAAAGGTGCTGGGTACAGAACGCCAGATCCCACATTGCTGAACAGTGTTTAAGTTTCAGCCCTTATGGCTTGAAAAACACATGGGGGCAGTGCCCATGAGCACATACGTCACGGATCCTGACAGAATGAAGAATTGGAGGAAAAAGGATTATAATATGACCAAGCCCCATTAGGGGTGTTCTTCCTTTTCCTCTTTCTTCTTTCTTTTTCTCTTTCTCTTTCTCTCACAATGGGGCACGCACCCTCTGACATAAAAGCAAAACCATATTGTGTTAGTTGTTTCTCCTATATTTTCTGATATGCTAAAGGTGCTGCATAATGGATATTCTTCACTACCAATCACAACTCAATTGTATTTAAAGATGAACAACAAAAAAAATAGACGTAGATATGCCAATGACCGCTGACATATTCTTACACATAAAAAAACTAGATCAAATGTCTGCTCTCCATAATATTAGCAATTAATAATAAAACAAGGTATACCATTAATAACTGGGCAGTAAGTCTCAAAGGCTGCATAGGTATACCAGTTCTTGAGGAGGATGGCTGAACTCAAATTATGAATAATAGATAACATGTAGATGAATAAGAGCTAAAAGGTGATAAAATATAGAGTAGATAAGATAAATAGGGCAGGACCAGGTGGTATTATGGTTAAAGACGCTGAACTCCCACATGGTCAATCATGGTTCAAGTCCCAGGCCTGACGGCTTACTTTCTCACTTTCTCTCTCTCACCCTTATTCTGCCCCTTTCTGGTCAAAAAATTAAAATAAAAAAAAATACATTTAAACAATTATTTAATACATAAATAGGGCAGCTGGGAACATAGCAGAACATCAAGAGAGATCTTTACAAGAGTGAGAAATCACACTAATTCTAGAGTTATTTCAGAAAAAATAATCAAAATTACAGATCCAAAAAAGACTATGAATAAAATGAACTGCAGCCACTGGCTAGAAGGATTTTTCTCTAATATTTCATTACCAAAAGGATTATAATTAAAGATTAGTTTTCTTTTCTTTTTCTTTTTTAATTTGTCAGAGGGTATACACACTTGCCAAAGAGAGACAGAGAGGGAGTGAAAGAAAACACAATGGGGTACAGTCATATTGTCATCTCTTCTCTTCCATTAATCCATCCTTTTCAGGATTTATAGCATGTACACACATGTAACCAGCATATCTCTCAGACCACTGGGGCTGGGATTCAAACCATTCAATCAGCTACATGGGATCTGGCTCCCTTAACCATCAGGCCATTTGGGCCAGCCCTAAAGATTAGTTTTCTATTTCATTCCTAAAGGTTCCTGAACCCCTCCTTAATTAAGTGTAACATTCTCTTCATTTCCACCCAGTGTGATAGTTCAAAAATTTTCCAGGCAACGTGGCTAACCTTAGTCAATGAACCCAGAAATTCAGAAAAAATAAGATTTCTGTGGTTAGGAAAATAAAGTTTTCAATACTTTAAGATAAATGAAAAAAGGTAAGTGAAAGTGTAAAGATGCCTCTTTTTTTCTTGATCAACGAAGATTATTTTAATGTGCTTAAAAAAATTTTTTTGGAGGGCCAGCAGGTGGAATGGTGGTTAAAGCGCTGGACTCCCACATGGCTGACTGCAGTTTGAGTCCTGGACCTAGCAACTTGCTTTCTCACTTTCTCTCTCTCTCTGGTGGGTGCACACACCTTGTAACAAATTTTAAAATAATGATAATGATAAATTAAATTAAATAATTCTTTAAAAAATTTTTTTTTCAATTTTTGCCAGAAGTTTTTTATGCTCCCCAGGAAAGAGACTGAGGGAAAGCAAGAAAGCACGTCCCATGGGAAATGATCACACCATAATACTTTCTCCTCCATTTCTTCCTCTTTTGATTTTGGGCATGCACAAACACATGCCTGCTGTGTTGCTAAGTCACCAGGTCTAGGATTCAAACCAGGCAATCGGCCATGAAAGATCCAGCCACCCTAACTACCATTCCACAGACTAGTCCAGAAATTTTCTCTATTTTTTTTTTTTTTAGAAGTTTTTACTATAGGGCGTGTGTGCTTCCCAGACAGACAGCACCAGAGAGATAGAAAGAC